AGGGAAAGACTGGTATACCATTGTGCACAGCATGATAAACAATTTCCGAAGACAATGAAAGACAAAAGCAAGATCTTCCAGTACCTAAAGCATGAAATTAAAATCAGTTTTGATCCCTTCCAGCAAATCTGTGCCTATTTTACAAGCCCTCAGTTCTGCTGTTATCTGGAACGTTTGCTGTGGTTAGTCTTCCTTACTCTACTCACTAAAATGGTAGAACAGAAAAAACAGAGGTGAAGGCAAATTAAAATGAAGTTATGGGAATGGAAAAAAAATATTCCCATGTGATCACAGAATGAAGAAAGCTGCACTTTGCTAAAAGGAAAAAAATAAGAAGAGACACAATAAAACTATACCAATGAATAAGTGTTATAAAGAAGGTGTAATAATTAGAGTTACAGAAGTGGACATTTCCACTCATCCTCCCTCACATGAAGGGCAAAGAAGTATCAAAAATATGGAAAAACAGCATCAAAAGGCTTAAAAAAACCTTTCTGAAAGTTAGTTTTTGTAACACGCACTAATACATTATCACTCAAGCTAAAAGAGGAATAGGATTTTTAAAATAAATGAGGATTTATACGGTCTTCGAACACACCTGCACCTAAATTGAACAAAAAAGAGTACCTATACAGATGAGAGAGCAAACTCTGCCATTCCCAGCACAGACTGCTCAGTAACTCGCACTGAAAACCTCTCAGGGCAGCTCACTCCTAATCTGTCCTTTACTAGGTTTACACCACCTTGCTCTGAAATGCTTGGGAGCTCTCACCACGACAGGCTGTAGATGCCAGACTAATCTGGTATTAGAAACAACATTTTGCTTTGAATAAGGCTGCTATTTAGCATTACCAGAGCCCTCCCCGTATCTGTTACCTGGGCGGACAGTCCTTTTCGTAGCATTTCTTTTGTCGCCCATTCGGCTGCGTTGCTGGGTCGCAGAAGGAGTTTTTGATTGCTCCGCTTCCCTTCCGCATGCAGTGGGCAATCTGGTGCCGCACCCCTGTGCCAGAAAGACACACAAAAAATTAACAGTAATACATGTAGGCTGGGCATGAGCTGTAGAAATACTCTACCATGGGGAATTCACACGCTGGTTGTAGTCCAGAACACAGTAACAGCTGTGAAATCAGTTCTGCTGAATGTCTGGGGTAAGTCAGGTATGAGCATCTTTAATCAAGCTGAAAAGGTGCTAAGCAGAGAGTTCTCTTGGATCAGATAGTTTAAGCAATGCATTAGAAAGCACTTTCCTTAATCTCAATTTAGTTTTCAGCCTCAGAAAAGGCTTCTGCAGGCTGTGAAGCAGGTTTAAGGGCTAGGAATGGTTCTTGGATCACTCATGGGTAAGAGGCAACACAGCAGCATCAGGTTATTCACAGCAAGGGTATTTTCGCTGATCTTTTCTTTGTACTTCTGGGAAGGTTGTTTAAGCAGAATACAAACTGGAGTGTATCAGTAAAACTATAATCCTGTGCCTCTTAATGCTGAACTATGCTTTCAAGAAATTTTGGTATGAATCTTGACCAAAAATAATTACACTGTAATATGAAGGAGAAAATATTTTGTTTTCTAAACAACTAATACAGCACTTATTGCAAGAGACAAAGCACAGTAATGACAAGAGATACAGAGACATCTCATATATATACAATTTGGGTTTTTTCCTAACAGTTCCACTTACAAAAACTCCCACACATTTAACAGGAAGAAACATGAACCAAAATACTGCATTACCCTAGTGCATATCTGAAGAAATAGTTTCCAGGGACCCACCTTCCATGCAGTTTTGCAATAATTTAAGACAGGTCCTGTACTGGAAACCCAGTGTGAAAAAAAGTATTGCAATATTGCAATAGCTAGACTGATACAGAGGTACTAAAATAGTGGCATTAGGCCCAAACAAATTCCAAGGACTAAAAAGACTGAAGAAATTGTTTATTAACTCTCATTAAATTAACTGTGCTATTAATTCACGGGAATTAATAAGCAGATGATAGGTTACTCTATCTCTGTGACTTTTATCCTTCTCCTGGGAAGCAAAGGGCCTGACAGCATTCTTAGTGTGATGTCAGGGATGGGCGTTAGGCTATTTTGCAGAATGTTTAGGAATCAGGCTTTTCCTTGTCTCACGCCCCCAGTTAACTAGTGTGGGAAACTATGTGGAAGATAAGAACAGTAATCCATAGATAATATACTTGGGAAATATGAAAATATTCCTCTGTACAACATATACAATGTTCCTCTATACAGCAATGTCCCCATATATGGCACTTAAAACATATTTCCTAAAATTTCATGCTAGCATTATGGTCTTTAAGTAATTTCACAGCACTCACTTTTTATTTTCCCTCCAAAATTTAACAATCGATTTATAAAAATAAATACAGAAAAATCAGAATAACAACTCTAATACTACAAAATCCAAAGCCCACAACAGAGTTAACTTTTGGTGGGAGAACTGAGCATGGACTTTATGTGTGAAGGTGAGGTTGTAGTCAGGTATTACTGAAAAAGGCCTCCACAAAACAAGGAAATTATAAACTTTCCATGCATATTAGGGTCATTCCATAGAAGCAGATGGAAACCTGTGTCTCATTTTTTATAGCACCTTAAGACATCAGGTCTGTGACACTGTGAGGAAACACTACAGCTTTTAGAGTACTTTCAGACTTGCAACTGAGCCATATAAAACAATTACTGACAACAGTACAGGATTTCATGACTGAGTCTCCTCCAGTCATACACGAAGGTTCATTTGCTAGAACAAGGATTAGTTTCACCTAGAAGGGAAGATTAAGGGACTGCAGCCCTGTGCTCCCATTAGTAGTCTTCGCTGGGGCGCTGAAGCTCCTGGGTACATGATGTGGAAGTAGCTGCATGACTCTGCAGCGTGGCTGGATGTGGCTCTCTCCTGTCCCTAGGACACCCTGAGCAGCAGAAAGCCTTCTGGTCCAGTGCAGGACTCCCAGGGAGCAGTGCTCTGGTTCATGCTATGAAAATTTTAACTGGAATAGTTAGCAACCCTCCTGCTAGCTGTAAACAAAGCAGTTCACAGAAATATATTTCTGCGCCTTTCAAAATCATGATATGTTGCTGTCCCAAATGCAAATAACAGAACTCTTCTTTTGATTTTATTATTTTTTTAGTGTCATTTCAGCTGCTGTAATTCACTTTAAAACCACTATAAACCTTTGCAAAAGTTATGCTTTGAGGCTGTACATTCTCATAAAACATTTGCTGACCAGTGGCATCAATACACTGATTTATTCACACGATTTTTATTAGGGAAGTTAAGTGAAAGCTCACTGTAGTTTCAAAATCTGGAAAGTTCTGGGATGGATGTATATATTGAAAGAAGCCATAAATCCACAGGTTTTTTGCTATTACTTTGTATAGTTCACTTCCAAAGTTGGAAGGAATCCAATATGCATATATTGAAATACACATATATATGTAAGTATACATATAATGACATAATGAAACACAGGGGTTTTTTTCAGCTTGAGTAAGTGAAACTGGAAAACACTGCAAAGGTAGAAAACTAGTCACCTCACACTGACCCTACCCTACTGAACATTTACACAGTTACATAACTTAAATGTGTAATATCCTATTTAACTCACAAATTTAAAGTTCTAAGTATACTTAAAAACTCAGTAAAACTGGAAAACCAAACACTATTTCTATAGGGCTCTGAGAACATAGCGGTTTTTCTCTCTTAACATCTTTTACTTCTTGCTGACCTCAGTGCTAACTAGTCCACACTGACAACTGCTCTGCATGCACAAAGATGCTGGATGTATTCATGCTTAAAATGTCTCTCTGGTCATAATCCTACTGCAAACATCTTGCTTTTTCATCTGGAGTGTGAACATCCCATTCCTTTCTGCTCACCTCAGCACTCCTTGCACCATAGCCCTTCTCAAACCCATGTTTCTTTACAGAAGTCCCTTAGGGACAGTATTGGTACCGATGCTCTTCAACATCTTTGTTGGTGACATGGACAGTGGCATTGAGTGCACCCTCAGCAAGTTTGCCAACGACACCAAGCTGTGTGGTGCGGTTGACATGCTGGAGGGACGGGATGCCATCCAGAGGGACATTGACAGGCTTGAGAGGTGGGCTGGTGCTAACCTCATGAAGTTCAACAAGGCCAAATGCAAGGTCCTGCACCTGGGCTGGGACAACCCCAAACATAAATACAGACTTGAGTGGCTTGAGACCAGCTCTGAAGAGAAGGAGTTGGGAGTGGTGGTGGATGAAAAGCTGAACATGAGCCGGCAATGTGCGCTTGCAGCCCAGAAGGCCAATAACCGTGTCCTGGGCTGCATCAAGAGCAGCGTGGGCAGCAGGTCGAGGGAGGGGATTCTCCCCCTCTACTCCACTCTTGTGAGGTCCCACTTGGAGTACTGTGTCTAGTTCTGGAGCCCTCATCACAAGAAGGACATGGAACAGCTAGAACAAGTCCAGAGGAAGCCACGAGGATGATCCAAGGACTGGAGCAACTCTCCTATGAGGACGGGCTGAGAGAGTTGGGGCTGTTCAGCCTGGAGAAGGGAAGGCTTCAGGGAGATCTTATAGCGGCCTTCCAGTACCTGCAGGGGCTCCAGGAAGGCTGGGTAGGGACTTTTTACGAAGGCAGGTAGTGACAGAACAAGGGGTAATGGCTTTAAACTGGAAGAGGGGAGATTGAGATGACATATTAGGAAGAAATTCTTTATTGTGAGGATGGTGAGACATTGGAACAGGTTGTCCAGAGAAGCTGTGGACGCTCCTTCCTGGAAGTGTTTAAGGCCAGGTTGGATGAGGCTTTGAGCAACCTGGTCTAGTGGAAGGTGTCCTTGTTGGTGGCAGGGGGGTTGGAACTGGATGAGTTTTAAGGTCCCTTCCAACCCAAACCATTCTGTGTTTCTATGATTCTATGATTCTAAGTGTACCATCTCAGCTCTGTAAAAAAACAAAACAAAACAAAAACCCCCAACTTCTACAGATATTTCTGGGGAAAAAAAGAGAAACCAAGGATGATGACAGTCAGATCAAAGAAAGGTCTTGATTTCACTAAATCTGCTCAGAGATTGCTTCTACCTCTCTGTGACACTTCAGCCCTTATGCAGGACTTTTTAGAGGGGAGGTTGACCCATTCAGCTCCTTAGTTTGCAAAAAAAGGTGACAGTTTAAAATCATTTGGGTGTGGAAGGTTTTTGAAACAGAGTTTAGAAATCTGTTGGCTGCATAGCCCTCAGTTTGGCTAAAATTAAGGCTGAAAACCACAGAAATGAAGGACCAGAAGCAAACATACAAAATGTGTATGCAAAAGAGCATATTTGATTATAAAACTAAATTGAACATTTAATTGTCACAGTCATGGATCAAATCAGATATTCTGCAAGGAGTTCTTCGGTATTCATATGAACTAATTATATTCAGTGCATATGTTATGTACACAATACAAGAGACAACCTTTACATTCTTGGTGTTATAAAACTCATAATAGCGAAGGCAAAACCAGTGACCTTTGTTTTCTAAAATCTATGCTACAAGCTTAGTACCACACTTCAGTTCAGGAACACCTGGAGGTAATCTTGCAAAGCAGCCCTGATAACAGTTGTGAAGGATTTAGAGGGCACATAACAATTAACCCCCAAACAAATCTTATAGTTAGGTCTTTTTGCAAAGCTTTGAAAATTTGCCAATTACTGATGTTATCTATGGAGAAGTAAATTGTTGACGTTGCCTAATATTCTTCCTTTGTTGCAGCTCTGCTGCGCTTTGCTTCTTGTTACATTCAATGCCATTGAAAGCTAGTCCTAAAATACGTGATTAAAGACTTTAGACAAGGATGAAGGATTTATACTTGTCATTTCAAATTGACCATTATTTAAAGAAAGAGTAATAGGTAGTTAATCTAGAAAAAAATTCAGTGAGGCATTTAAGTTAATCGTCTTATAAAAAAAGCTTAAGGCCTTTACATGCTGTCTTGACAGTAGGCTTTGGAGGGACAGGCTCTTGGCCAGAGGGTACAGCAGTGTGAAATACACTGTCTGGTGTGCACACATTCTCACAGAAAGCAATTCCTTCTGCACAAAGCAAATGGCAGGCAGAGAGTCAAACTACTCTGCAGTGAGGACAGAGCAAGGTTTCTGATTTTTACGATAAACTATCCCCTTCAGTGTGTGTTTGCCATGAAATGGATTACAACGTAATTACTGAACTATTTTCTACATTGCAAATGGCTATCAGGTATTGTAACATGTTCTCCTTTTCCCTGCATGCAGCATTAGGTATGTTTGCTACAGAAAACACTGATTTTTCAGACAATATTTTTTTCCTGTGACATGGTGCTATTGTAGACTGGCCAGACCCATTCTTTGAGACTACAAAAGACACATGAAGGAAATGAAGGAAAACATGAGCACATTTGCATACTCTTTTTCTCAGTTGCAACTGAGTTGGGGAAAGACAAGGGTCAGGACACGGTATGGTGCTACCTTGAGGCTAAGAATCTTTTGGAAAACATCTTTAGGGAGCTGCCCTGACTTAATTCTGAGAAGGGACAGCTTAACTCTATAAAGACATGATTCATCATTGGGATTTTTTCCAGGTACATTTCTCTTGGATAAGGAGCTGTATCACAGGGCTTAAACCGTATTTTTTCTCTTAGGACAGACAAGGCTTTCCTGCATCAGCCCATTCACTCCTGTGCCTGTAGCCCCATTTGCCACTCCCTAAACTCTGCCTCACTCTCTTGGCTCCAGAAAGCATTTGTTCGCATTGTCCTGATCTCTGTGGCTACAAAAGGCCGAAGTGCCCTTGGATTTACTGCTACCATATTGACCAGTCTTGATAAGAGGACCTATGAAGAAATTTTAGGCAGGTCTAGGTTTACCAAGAGAACAAAATTCTAGGTAAGAATCAATTTCTCCCACCAGTTGTAACCATCAAAGTTAGTTCAGTAGTTCACCTTTCTTGTCCTTCTTTTTTATTCTGAAAAACTATTGGTTTATTATTTACCAAATGATAACTGCAAAATTCCTTTTATTATCTTAAGTGTAAAGAGATGCAACTTCTCTTATCTCCTTGACCCCCACTGTAGGCTTGTCTTCAGTAACACTTGTCATGCAGCACACCAATAGCAGATGATCTTGCCTACTTCAATGCACTTTATTTTTCAAAGCTCTTCAAATGCCTGAGATTTGGCACAACAGATCTGTTACTGCCAATAGCAGTAAATTCTGAATCTAAACAGAGTGTATGTTCAGATAAAATCAATCTCAGCATTCCAAGCCAGAAGGAAGTTCTGTGGAAGTCAGAGAAGGGTGTTGCTTAATCCAGCAACATTGGGAACATTCAGTTCTACCTTTATTCTGCTTCCTGGTCCTAAACTGAACATGGGGGGATCAAACCACAATAAAGGGTAACCGTGTGAGACTTTCTACTTCTAGGTCAACAATCACTTCTGTGCCCATATTCCCTGCTAAATGTAGCAAGACTTAAAGAGTTTCTAAATTTCCACAATGATGCAGAGCTAACATTTTCCAAATACGCCTTCCCTGCTGATACCCCCTTTTTTCTATGCAGCAAAGCACCAGGTATTTTTGCTGATGTGTTTGGGCTCTGGTCATCCAGGCACAAACCTGCTACATTACGGTACCCGTGTGGTACTTAGGAGGGCCAGCTACCTCAGATTCAGTGCCAAGACAGTATGACAATCTGGTCCACATTCAGACAGCCCAGAGCACAACTAGATGAAGCATCAGGTACCTGCAGAAAACTGCAGACAGACTGTAACATCAGAGTTCTGCTGGTTCAAGTAGTACACTGAAGCTCTGTGCCAGTGTTTCCCTTTTTTTCTGGGCAGGGAGTAAAGGACAATACCATGACTGCATCGTATATTAGCAGATTACACCCTCCTTTATACTTGCTCAGTTACTTTTATAAATGTATGTATCTAAGAGGAAAGAGAGCAAAGGGTCTATTAATATATCTTCTCCTGTCCATGAAGGAATGCAGAGAACTGGGAAGGTTTCTGTGCCTTTTTTGAACCGTGATGCACCTCTTGATTCTCCTCCAAACTTATGTCAGTAAGTTCACAATCTTCCCTGAAACGTATCATTTCTACTTAAGCAAAGAAAAAGCCAATGAAGTAAAGAAATATTTATTAAGAGTCCAAAGACAGTAAACAAGGGAAGCCACTTACTAAATAAAAACTGAAAAAACCCCTATATCCTGCAGTTCTCTATTTAAGTAATCCATGTGGCAGTTAGAAATCAAAGCCAAGTCACGCAGTTCTTTAGCCAGAAGGTAGCACATACAGTTATAATCTACTTATTGAGAAACAGTTCTTGGGAAAGTGCTGCTGATGTAAAAAAATCCAAAACAACATAAAAAAGTCTAATAACACTTTTTCCTCCACTCTTTTTGTAATCATGCCAACTCTTACATTACACACTACTCACAACTAAGTATTGGAACTAAAACATAACAACATCCAATTAAGCAAAACACTTGGTTTACCTATTTAAAGAAAATGTGATTGTTTATTTTTTTTTCTGCTAACCAGAAACCCTGTAGTGTTTTGTGCTGAGACTCTTCTCAAAAAGACCCCCAAGAAACAAACCACACAAATATTTGCACAAACATATATATATGGATGTATAAACACCTCTATAATATGTCCAACAGATATATAAAAATATATTTTTTTAATAATATAGTAAAGTTATTGGGATAGGGTAATTTACTCTATTCTTCTAAAAGTCTTCTTTAGTCTTCCAAAATTAAGGACATACAATGTCTTTTGTTCAAACCATGGAAAATGCATTATTTTACTGTGCTCCCTAACAGGAAAGATTAAAAAACTGCTACTCCTGTAATCATCACTGCTTATAGACACCCAGCTGGATTTGTTACAACATTTGTTTGTCTTTTTCTTTCCTTCTGGAAAGTAGTTAAAGAAAGCAATAATTATCAAAAAACCATGGATAATACCCTAATGTTAGAAAGAGAAAAGGCTTATTTCACGTTATTTGTCCAATGGCCATAACATTGATCTTCTATTGCTCTGTACAGTCTTCACATGGACCGTCAAAGCACAAGGTTAACGTCCTGTCTCCAGGACTCTTCTGCCCAGTGGAACTCAGGAACTACTTCAGACGGAAGGCTGCAATCTCTTCCTCCCCAAGTGCAGACTTTCTTTCATGCACAACATTTTTCTCATCTTTTAAAAATTATTCCCACAAAGGATGGATAAACCCCTTTACATTTGTAAAGAAACCTTCAGTCTCTTTATCATTATCATTGGTTTACTGCAAGCATTAACTTAATCTTATTGATGTGTTAACTACTTTATAGAGTTTTCCTGGTAGCATTTTGGGTAAGTTACCAAAGGCAAACTTCTAGACCTGTTGTTAGATCCTACTTTGTGGTTGTCATTCTGCTTGTCTGGTTTAAAATGCTGCACAGAACTAGAATACAACTGCAGCTGTTCCCGAGCCATTGTACCAAGAGTGGCAAAGACTTTTAAGTTCTCAAGACTGATTTAAATAAAGTAATTATTGAGAAATTCACAGAAAGCATTGCTGCTTATCAAGGCAGGACAGAAATTAAGAATACTTTTTGTAGTTAATATTTTGGAAAGACTCACTAGGGAACAAAGAGTAGGTCATAAATTAGTATTGCTAAGAAGCAGGATTATTGTGAACAATATTGAAAACAAATTATGAAGAAAATAAAACTGTAGTTTTTCATTTTGGCTCACAGAGGTTTAGAATTTCAAAGTAAGTGCTATAGAAACCTATTTGCCTACAATGATTTAATAACATTTTAAAGTCAGAATACATTATTGTAACCATGTGATCTGATTTCCCACCAAATTCAGATTAAAAAACCTTACCTCTTTTTGAGGACGCTGTCTGGATAACTTCAAGTAAAGATGAGATTTGCCAGTAAACAAGACAAACAGTAATAGAAAGCGGAAGTGAGGAATTACCTCTTCCACAGGTTACACTGCAGGCTGTCCAGTCTCCATACTGCCAAAAATACTGTGGCTCTCCAATCTCATTCTCATAACTTTCTTCTTTACGTACAGTATATTCATACTTGATTCCAGGGTTAGTTTCTTGAAAAAGCAGCTGGAGAAAGAGTGCGGTTTATTTAATTACTTACGATTTTAATAATCTACCGGCCTAAAGCTCTCAAAACATGAAAACAGGAGCATCAGTGAGGTTTAATGTTGCCCATTTTGAAGCCTACTACCAGTTCAGAAAAGTAGACTGGCAAAAATTCCATTTGTGTGCCGACAGTGGCATACGTGTATCTTTCTAAGACACAGTTGTTTGCCATGCACTTTTCCAAGGACAGGTGGGAGTAAGTGGGTCAGCATAATTGGTATCCCATTGACTGTAAGAAAAGTCCATTCAGGGCTCTGCCAAATGTGCTGCTGATTAAGTGCTACTGCCTATCACCATTATAAACTATAATTTCCCAACTCTTCTGAAATAGCTGTTACAAAACAACCAGTAGGTCAGAAAATTACAGACTTCATTCAGTCACTGCTTTAGTATTATTTTTCAGTGTTTCTGCATTAAGAAGGACCTTTAAAGGTCCCTTCCAACCCAAACTATGCCATGATTCCATGATTCCAATTGAGAAGAACCACTCAAGAAATTTACTGTTTGGCTGACGAGAGGGAGAAAAGAAAAATATCATCAAGGGATAAAAGACTTCAGCAACAAACTTGTACTGTTCCTCCTAATTTTTTCCTTAACCTTGTTACTTACAGTGAAGACTGAGCACCCATTAGATGTGCCTTCTCACCAGACATTCAAAGTGTGAAAGTGGCTCCCATCATACCCCTAATACTTCTTTTAATTGCATGGTGGATACAGAGGCAAACAAGCCAGGAAAGACACATTCAAAGAACAAAGGGGCAATTTAAAACTATTTTTGCGGAATTAACAGAAGACAGCTACTTTTAAGTTAGAATCTATAAAGCAACATAAAGTAAACAAAAGGGAGCAACCTCAGAGGATGCTAAATGGATCCATTTCACTTACCATAAGCTATTACTCCAACTACCTAATTTTCTTGCTTAGTGTAAGCTGTCACTGCTGTCGGCCTCAGCCTCACTGTTTGTTTGCAGCCTGACATCAGCTGCCTTTTTGTAATAAATAGTTACTTTTTATCTGGGTCTGGTTCACATCACAGCCACTTGTTGGTCTAAGCTAGCACAAGAGAAAAGGAAGTTTGGGCAATGGACTGACCAGCTACAGTGGCAGGATCCCTATCCCAGTGGCAGCACTGGATTGTATCAGCCTTTAATAATTATCAGGCTATGACACTGAACGTCTATTTTCAGGCAGCATGAAAAACCCTCTCAAGCAAAGTGTTTATTTCTCTCCAAAATAGTTCAAGTGGTTTTTGCAAGACAGCATGCTAACAGTAGTTTATATGCAAATACATGTATTTTCTAGCCTTAGTTTCAGAGCCTCAGCACATTCTGCTGCCATCCAAACCCAGCAGGTTCTGCTAGAGATCTCCTATTTACCTGAATCCATATTGATTCATTGGTGGGTCCTGGAGCAGTCAGATTTTCTAGATCCCCTGTTCTGTCATACTGAAATATCGTGCCTGCCACTTTGTATTCACCATTCCACTGGATGATAAAGCCTCCATTCAGGTAATATTTTTCTGGGTCTTTGCTTCGCACAGCAAGGAAATTCCCTGCTTCTGCAACTTCCACGACTTTGATTCCCCTCGCACCTTTTGGTATTAGCCCAATATCAACGTATCCTAAGAGACAAAAAAGGTTCATGGAGGTGAACAACAAAAATGTAATTGCATATTACTCACGTACAAGATAATTAAAATATCAGCTTTGCTTGAAAATGTATTACAAATGTGCTATCACAGAGCTTGTATTTCAGTTAGTTATTAGTGTGACCTTCCAAGTCAGGTTTTCCAGTATCACTTGGGGAATACGAATATGCATTGTGTTTAGACAGTAACAGTGGCATTTAGAAACAATATGGAGGTGAATGCTTTTCTGAGCTGCACCAGGGAAATCTACTCCACAGATGACCATCAACATCTCCATAACTACATCCACGGGCTCTGGCATACTGCAGTGCGAGTAAACTGGAGAAATACCAGGGAGCCTCGGCAAGTTAACAGTCTGTTGTGGGAAAGGTCTTTTCAATTTGCAAGGAATGTTTTCATCTGTTGCCAACATACAGGTATGTACATAATTTCATGTGCCTTTCCTGAAGTCATTTAACTTCTCTTTGACTGTTTCCCATAGACAGACTTGCTACAAAAAACCTGAACATTATTAAAATGCCTCAAATCACTATGATCAGTTGAACATTTTATCAACTACTGATTGTCATAAGGAAGTTCAACAGCTCTTCAAGTACACAGTTATCTGTAAAAATAAATTTTTGGTATGTGTGTTAAGAATGAACGCAGAGCATCTATTACACAATTCTGTTTGCATCACAAGCAATATATGACATCAAGGTTCTGTGCTCCTCACTTTACAGGGAACTGCTATTGCTTGTCCTGTTTTTTAAAAATAGGAAGTTCACATAGAAATTTGAACACAAACTCAGATACTTTCTTGCTATTGCTCCTCTCTGGGCCTTACAAAAAAGGATGGATGATAGCTCTACAAGCAGGTGCCCTGAGAGTGTGAGCTACAGTTTGTGCTGGTTTACTGCAAAATCGGAAGATATGTGATTCCCCACACACTGCTGAGGTGTTGAATTAAATTCTGAGACTCATATTCCGTTCAACTTTCTTGTGAAATAAGCTTATCACCTTTGATTACTCACTCACATGAGTGAGATAAACCACACTGGGCATACTAAGTGATCTTCAGTACCAACACTCTACACCTACAAGAAGTACTTATATGCGGTACAACAACCTGCTGTCATAAATAAGTGCCCCAAAATCTTTAACATCAGAATTTTCTTTGCAGCAGTGTGGTGGGGTGATAAGTACTGGTTCTAATATATTGCTTATGGTACAAAAAAGGATCTGTCTACTTCAGGCCTCTCCTAATTATATTAATAATATATAATTTTATATTTTTTTTTCCAGTGATTATTGTTCAAAGGGGAGAGTTTTCTGAATGTCACCTTTTGCAACTTTCCTAGACTGACTGCGGAAATTCAAACTTTTCAGTCTTTCATAAGTGAAGGGAATAACAAAATTGGGAGGATTACTGAGTAATTTCTATTGTAATTTCTATTATTGGAAACCAGTGGTCTAGGTCTACTATAAGTAACCAAAGTCTAATGATTCTCCCAAATGTTCTGTTCATTCAGTGTGAAGTGTTATGAACATAGTGTATGATCATGTAACTAAAGACCTGATTAGAAGGCATATGCACAAGCGGGCCAAATTAACACAGCATGGAAAATCTTAATTGTGCCACGTTCTCACAGCTTGGCTTTGCAACATTGGTGTCCTTTTCCCATAGGTTTTTTTCAGATGTAATCAGTACACCATTTGTTTGAAACACAAAGTATAAAATCAATAAGACATAATTTTCTTTCTGTTGTAAGATAGAAATCTGTATCCTCTCAAGTTTTTTGCATAATTATTTTTGCCTGAATCACCTGCTGTTGCTCATAAACCTGATTTTAAATGTGTTGCATTGCAGCTGCCTGGTGAAAGATGTTACCATTTGGTCAATGTATCACACTCCCTTCTCCCCAGCCTTCCCTTCTTTGACTAGTCAAATTACCTCCTGATTTCCCAGAACCTCATGCTAATTCCCAAAGAATGTTATCTGCTTTTGAAAGCAAAGCTAATCAGCAGCAAGCTTTTGAGTTTGTCACTCAACATAATAAATTTTTGTTTAAAAATGACGTGGATGGTGTTTATATACTTGCTCCTGATTATATGGTTTCATCTGATAAGGATCTAGAGATTCGAGATTCAACAACAGCCAAAATGTCAGCTAACCTACATGCTGTGCTCATTAAACCCTGGAGTATCCGTATCGTGGGTGCTACTGCAAAGCCATGAAATGGCAACTCTCAGATGCTATTAATCTTTCCCTTTTTAATTAAATTAGATCTATATGTTCCTAACACGGATGAGAGTACAACATGAATAAATTCATGCAACCTTTTTTGTAGGCACAGCTCTACCAGGACTGAAGAGCATGTTTCTCTTTTCCCACTGCTGTGAGAGAGGAGTAATTTCACTCAGGTGGTTCACAAGTATTGCTGATCAGATGATAATCAGATGCAGCTAATTCTTGTTCTCACAACAGCTCCCATCCTGCTCTCCAGTTTGTTGTATCTGCAAGCTTCTGTTTCTTATAAAAACACATTCCTGAGGCAAAATTTTCCTCTAAGCCAGGCTCCAGGCAGTACCACAACAGTATTACGTGGAAAACAGCACAGGCTCCAGGTGGCATACCGGGCTTGCAAGTCAAGGTGTGCTTGCATATAGCCTTCCCATGGGACAGAGGGAGCACTGCAGTGATGGTAATGGGCAAAAAGTTATAGTCCAGAGACAGTCTCCTAACTGAGGATCCAGGAGACCTTCTAGTCTCTCATATCAATATTTGTGTCATGGCTATGTCCAGACTCCATCCTGGGGCTAGGTTCAAGCACGTACCGGATCTCTGTCTGCACTTGGGTTGCACGAAAAAGAAATAGGTAGGAGGGAGACTGTAGCACATGTCGATTCAGTCCCAGCCAAGCTAGTCAGGAGACAACTGGACCAGGATAAACCTCCAGGTTTTCCCATCACTTTGCTAAAATTCATCCCTTTACAGGAGTGACATGCAGCTAATCTTGCCTTCTAACTCGCAGAATAAGACACCTCCACCCATATTGTACAATCCCTCATTTCCCAATTTTCATAAATTTAAATGCGTTGTCCCCTTGCTACTGAAAGTTGGAAAATTCTTTTGCCCCTACGCACACAGAAGGGTGAAGACAGGACGATTACCCATCCTTCTGACTACCAGTTATTTCCCAGCCACTGCTCTTTCCCAGGCAGATCCCTTTGTCTGTTCTTCACAACCACACTTTCCCCATTTGTTATCCATTCACTCCACACTCCTTGCACTTGCCAGGAGTCCTAAACCATTTGTGTACAACAGACCTCTGATTTGTTTTACATCATAAAACTCTAATGGAATCCATTAAGCAGATGATGCTGCCATTCCTGCAGCTGTGTTGGGAGCCCCTGGACTGCTATTCCCATTTTGCATCCACAGGAAAGACAAAGAATTTTAAAGAAAATCCAAGTAATAACACAGGTTTGAAAACTCTTCTTTCTGAACATGAGGCAGTAAGACTTCAGGTAAAACTGATCACCACTCCCTGCAGTGAAAGGCTGAATTATTAAAACTCTTTCCTACCATTTCATTAGTCTGAACTGTCAACTTAAGTCAACCTGCAGAAAGAATACACTGCTGCAGCACCAGACTCAAGAAAGGCCTGCTTCCATTCATCCCACACAAGGCAACTTAAAACCCGAATGTCTCACTACCATCAGTGAAGAAAGGCTTAGTGCTCCGAGTGCTGATTCAGACCCCCTTAATGCTGCAGGCAGTTACTCTTCTCTTTCAACCCATAGGCATCCCACAGAATATTTTAGAGCAACCAGAAGTGCAAAGTTCTGCATGAGGAAGAGGTGGTACACCGTCACCAGCGCCAATGGTATCTGATTTATGACACTTAAAAATGAATCCCGAAACCATTCACTCCAGCATTTTCTTGGTGCTTTACACTGTCCAGAGATTTGGGACCAGATTTTCCAAGGCTGTAAATTACATTGTAAATGCACTTGCTATTTTGGTTTTATTGTTATCTGCTTAACTTGCATAGAGCCTGTTGGTCTTTGATATAGTTTTTATTAGACAAGGTGAACTTAAAAAGCAGAGACCACAGATCTCTTCTGGCAGAAGCACAATTCACTGTGAAACATCCATTTACAATTTTCTACACAGATCGATCACTCAGTTTGCAATGAGAAGCGCTTAATCCTTTTTATATAGAGAAATGACTTCACCAACAGAAGAGTTTAAAAAAAGAACCGATTTTACCAAATCCTTCACTTTGATTAAACATCATCTTCACGGTATGACAAGCAGAGCCATCTCCCAGGCAAACTCCACACTGGTCTTCAGTTGCATTGGAATTTATCTCATAATCACAGCCAACAGCCTAGAAGGAAAAACAGTTTTAGAGTAAATGTGGCTTCCAACATCAAATACTCAATGCTCATGTATCGCTGCCTTCACTGTACTCTCCTCTCCTGAGAAGGGAAGAATCAATTTTGTGGAAAAGTATATATCCTATATGAACAAACTAATAGTAGAGATTGTTATATCTAGATCAAACTGGTGTATTATATGAAGGTGAAAAACAAACAAACAAGAAACAAACTACCGCCATGTTACGAAACATACATAGTTACTTGAGATGAAAACATGCCACCCAAATGGCCTCAACATCTAGGACTGACCAATACATCTGGAATTTGTGTCTGCCTTCTTACATCAGAGAAGCATCCATGGATTCCCAGGAATACAATGCAGTAACAGAACTCAAATCTCTGTGTCAGCTTTTTGTGGCCATCAGACAGTGCAGAACCTCTAATGCAGTCAAACGCCCTGGCAAAAAGAAACTCTTCAGCAGACATGAAGTTTTATACCCGTGACAGCTGCTTCTCCAGCTTGCCAGAACGGGAGGAATGGGTCAAGATAGAGTTCTGTTAAAGACTGATTTTCCAGTTCATGCTTGCTACAGGGAGAAAGCGAGAGAAAAATTTATTCACACTGGGTCAGGACAAAACTTTTTCCTTGCCCAAACCAAAAATCCTGTGCACTGATGCCTTTAAACTTCAACAAAATTTTCATTGTGTTTTGGGGTGTTTTTTGCCTTTCTTTAAAAACTAGCAAGTTGGAGAACACAACCTAATGTCCAACACTTAATGGTTCTTAATAGTATCTGAGATATATGAGGCCTGTGATTTAGATGAATAGCCATAAGTCTGGTGGTATGTAAAGTTTTTCTCAGATGATTTTTCTCCAAATAAGCTTTCAGGTGTGATACCTGCCAACTCTGCTAACACTCTCTTGATGTATGAAAATCTGGTTATCCTGTCTTTTCATTCTGATCATATTTTACCTTCAGTACATCAGCTACTGTAATCTTCTCTAAGCTCCTGACAAGAACATCTATGTTAGTATTAGACTAATCAAGGTATAAAGAAATATTTTGAGAAAAAATATTTTCCCATCATTCCTCTATGCACTAGTGATTTAACGAACAGCTAGGGAAGGTGCAAAAATGGAAGCAAGGAAAGGCCTCAAGTTACAGTGTTAAACCATGTCATTTTCATTTTTACAGAGGATTCAGAAAAGACTCATCTGTCACTTAATGCCAACACTTAGCCGGCACCTCTGATACCTGCTCTGAAAAACAATGGCCATGCCAAAAGGTTCTGCAGCAGCCTCAGCTTCTCTCTCCTTTCAAAAGGCTACTTTCAAAAAAGGGAAAGTTTTGTAATGTCTTTCACACAGACACATCTCAACACCAAGGACTACATTTAATGAGCAGTACAGAATGTTACAGAGATAAGCACACCTTAAGAAGGTGACTACATTTCTGCCACCAAGCACGTAGCTATTCAACCAAGAATGGATTTAATGAAGTATTCAAAGTACACAGACGCTACTGTGATAAGTGCAGGATGTTTCTTTATCTTGCCAAGAGTTCAGATCTGACTCTTCACCTGCTATCTCCAGATGCACTGCAGTTTATATTTAACACCTCTTAAGCATTTAAAGAGGTAGGCACATAGCTGTTTTCTTAGAGATGCTTTCTGTGGTATATTTACTGTACTATCTTCAGTACATTTTTTAATCATCTACACACAGGTACTAAAGTAATTGTCATCAGGTTTATTCATAGACCAGAGGAGTAACCAGCCCCACTGGTGAGTCCTGTTAAAATTTATTTTCTATTCTATGCATAGTTAAAATATATTTTCTCATCTATGCATATATTCATTATTAAACACAAAGTTGGAAAAAATCTGGAAATGGAACCCTTGCACTTAATGTTCTGCTATTATAAAACATTACTAATGAATGTTTTGGAGCTTCTCTTTTGAACTTCTTAAAAAAAAAAATTACTTGTCTTCAAATTGTATCATTTTTGCCAAATTAGTATTTTCTGGTAGAAAATGCATGTTCTTGAAAAAATTTCTATTCATCTTCACTTACTGTTTGTGCTTGTTTGAGTGCATGAACCCAGAAATGATTTATCTAATTCAGGCTGTCAGTCAGACATTTTGAAATGAACACCACTGAGCATAATTCCTTGTGAGTACTGTGTGGTGTAAAAATCCCCAAATGCTGAAAAAATTAGTTCTGAACTACTTCAGTGGCCCTAGTAAATGAGTCTGGTAGCAGCACCACAGTATCATCACTTTCCTGCCTTTGGGGTGCCAATTAGCGTCTCTGCGTGGGCTGTACTCTATATCAGCTCAGTCAGAATCAGTTCATACCTTTCCCACCTGGACATATATTTCCTTCAGCAAAACATCCATGGCATCAAAATATGACATTACTATGACAGGAATGGAATCCCTTTGTCCCTTCCAGTTATAACCATTTTGTTTTTCCTTTGACACTTGAAACATAGTTTGTATCTGATCAGACATCATGGTCTTACCTATACATGCGGCAGTATGGGGAACAGGGACCCCCAAAAATGAGGCACTGCAGAAAACTGCCAGGGCAGCCAATTTACTGCATCACAATAAACAAAGCTTTCATTTAATTTTCTAGCTCTGAAGTGCTGCTGGTGGTGCCATGACGTTCATATCTAGCAACAGGGCCTCATCCTACAAGGCCATTAATGACCATCACAAAGTGTATATTCTTATATGTCAGAGAATAAACAGCTCCAGCAGTCATTCATTCTAAGTACATTTACATGAATTTTAATTTCCAGGCTATGTTTTGCTTTCCTGCTCCAGTGAACATCACATTATTTTTGTCATCCACTAGATTAACTTCTAGATGCTTCCTCCTTCCTTTTACTTGCTTTCCTGATTCTTCTGATTCTTCTAGATATGCACTAGCTATATTTTCTAAAGCTGCTTTAAATAATGTGCCTTAAATTTCTGCCAAATTCCCTGTTAAAAGAGATCTGGAGATTAAATGCAGGTTATAACACAAGAAAAAAAAAAAATCAGCAGCAATTAGGCTCTGATTCTTCCACACACATGTCCTTGTGCACCCTCTGCCAGTAAAACATGCCGAGCTACAGCAACCACTGTGTGCCATAGCATATGCAGTGCAAATCAGCACCCCTCCATGCAGCCCTTTGCCATCGCCCCATTCACCAAGAGCCTTTTTGTTGCACCTGTGACTAACTTTATTTCTTGTCCCAACACACAGGGCGGAGGCAGAAATAATGACCTGAATTGCCTGGCTGCATTACAGGAAGAAGGAACAATTTATTTCCTGCTGCTCAGTGACCAAAGGGAAAACAGATAGAGATATTACCCTTTTGCCACTTGCAGAGGGAGAAACTTTTGTGTCAGATTGGCAGCAGTGGGCAGATACAAAAAGTTCTTGCTGCCACGGAAGGGTATCGCCTGGATATACTGCCTGAAAAGCCAAGTTACGTGGATGCTACATTGTGCTCTTAGGCTCTTCCTTCTGCTTGTCTCCCCCACTGGTGTCCAAATAAAGAAATCATGTTCATGTCATGTTGGCCGTGACATTGCCTTGAAGGGAGAGAAATGTCTCCTGATGTGCCCATTTCTCTCATAATTTGTCTAGATGGGTCTGAATCAATGTCCTGTTGGGCCAGCAGTGGGAGGAGGAGATTGAACCATAGCAAGAGCTAGTAAAGCTGCTACAAAAAAAATCTGAGACATATAATCAGCTTTTCAGCAAGAGAAAAAACCCATTTTCCTCCCTAGTACTACACAGCTTCTCCAATACAATGTTACTGGAACTGTGAATTACTACAGAGAACATCTCACAGATTTGCATGACTGAAAGAAGGTCATTTAAGCCCATTAAAATTCTGTTCAGGAGAAGAATGCTTGCTAGAAACAGCAGAGACAGGTCTTCCACCTGGCGTGTCTGCACATCCTCAGTGCAAACACCACGTAAACATTCACTTTTAGGTAATGGCATGGCTTGTATTTAACCAAACTCCTCAGTCACGTATGTATCAGTGCTCAACAGACACACTCTGGTGGCAGCATCTTTGCTTATTAACACTGACGGAGCAACTGACCGCTCTATTAAGAAATAGAGTGTACTTGTGATGTGTAATTTAAAACACAGGTAGATAGGAATGTGCTTTAAAGATCTTCTAAATAAAGAGAAAAAAGTGACACTCAAAGGATAAATGCAGAGGAATATAGTTAAATAGCAAACTAGTCATGGTATATGTTGATTATTTTAGATTAAATTACTGACAGATCTTGTCGACTCCCTCCACTCAAAGCTGTTTTATAAGCCAGACATCACGACAGGAGTAGGTCTAAGAAGGTACCTGAAGGAAGGTCAGGCTATGTGCAAGTACAATAAAAGGATTAAAGCAACTTCACCTCTTGTCTCCTTATTAGCACCACCAGTAACAAAACAGGGTTGCAATCACAGGCATGCAGCTCTGAGATTCCTCTCCGCAGCCACTGCTTCCAGCACTGAGTGATTTAATGGTGTTATACATGTTTAGAGAACTCCTCTTCTGTGCAAGGACAAAGCTGAGAGAGGACTCAGCTATTTTATATGCCAGGCCCTCAAATGAGTTAACAATTCCAGCTTGTCTTTGAATTGACAAGGCAAGCTCTAAAGGAACACCATACCAACAACACCTCACCAGTACAGCTTCCTTCTGCTCTGAGGCATAGACACTTGTAAAAAAATTAGGACCCATATATTGGACAAATTGCAAAAACCAAGTGAATCTGCGCTAGTGTCTGCCTGTACTTTCTACCTGAAGATGCCCATTATGGCTTTGCCAGGGTGGCTAGGAAGGCATCCAGTATACCTCAGGGAGCTCAAATGAGGCATCTCTATCCACATTTAGCCACTGAGGTAACACCAATTTCTCTGACTGCTCTGAACAAAACCATGGCAAACTGCAAAATCAGACTGAAATCAGCTGAATTTAGGATATTAAATTCTTGACTGAACCTGAGTCTATCAATATTGTTTTGACATATTCACTAGGAAAACTCTGAATCTGGTTTTTGAAAAAGAGCTACTCTGCACACCAAACACATGTGAGCGATATAGACAGTGGATCTAACGAACGTCATCTCACCATTTTAATTTTTTTCTCAATTTCAGACCTAAGTGAAGTGTTATTTTAGTACTCAGAACAAATGTGAAGCACTTCTGTGTGATATAGTAGTGAAA